GCTGATGATGAACTATGGGAGCATGCAGACTTGTAACATGCAATGCATCGATTTCCAGTTGAGCTGATCGCGGAGGAATCTCCCAAATTAAATGACGCTAAGTGCAAATTACAATCTAGGTCTATTCCGACCCATTTGCATTTCCATCATTGTCATTGTCACCTCTTTGCTCAATCTATCATCGTTATTCCGAGATCTTATAAATTGAGCGCTGGAAAGTTAACAGTGGTTTGTCGAATAGACTGGCCTCTTGCCATGGGAATGGTTAAGTTACACCTGCAGCTTGGGACCTCCGCTGTTTCGGTGAGCATTGCCCGGTCCCTGGTTGGGCACAGGGCACTGTGGCTCTCCGATCGATATTTCGTAGCCTCTCTTGGAGGCTTCACATTGTGTCCGGTTTGAAGGATGCGGCGAGGAAGCCACGGATTATTTGTTTTAAGCCACAAACACTCGCCGAGTACTAAGCCTCTACGAAGTTCAAGTGTGTCTCAAGCAGGGTTATTGTTTCCAGATCTAGGAGAGTGTTGTTGAGGAACTAAGATATACGGATTATGGATGGACAGACTGGTATCTGATGGGGGCCTCTAAACAAGAGATTTACTGATCATTCCATGATGTGTTCTCTTGGCAAAACACGAACAGATCGATCTTTACTTGGGTCTGGAGGCAATAGACTAACCAGTCTCAGATGGTATTATTGTATATAAACGGGCAGACCCGGAGAAAAATCCACACGACTACAAGTGAGAGAGAGAGACATGCAAACTGCAATTGTACAGCAGGCGTCAGTGTCGGGATCGAACCAATGGCCTCCTGCCTACCAGCCGAGGGGGAGATGACATGTCACCACCGCGGCGCCCCGTCTTGCCGTCCCACGTGGGACTCAAGGGGGATCGGTTTAGCGAGGCCCAGAGCCGAGGGTTCTCTTCTCCCACAAGCAAGGCCACTCTGTCACACTTCCAGGGGGACTAGGCTCTTTAACTGTTACTTTTTTCCTCCACCGCCGCTAGCACCGCCACCGCCGCCGCTGAGTGTTTTTGTTGGCCGTGAATCGGAAGTGGCCGGGGATGTCAAGGCGGCTTTGGGAGAGCGCTGTGCACTAAAATCACCGGAGGTCTCTGAGAGCCAGCCATGCGGGAAAGCCTGCCCTTTTGAGTGGCCATTAAATTAGGGGCGCTTTACAAAAGAAATACGGGAGCCGCTCCGAAGAGAGAAAGAGAGAGAGAGAGAGGCGAAAAAAAAATGAAAGGCAAGAAAATGCGGTTAGTTTTGCTGACTTTGAAGTTTGCGCTGTGTGTGTGCAGGAGGTGAGAAAAGCGGTCAGCCCCTGACAAAGCTGCACTCAAATTAAAGCAATCATCACCGGTCGCTTCGTTTAGCTTGTTTTGTTTCATTGTCATCGTTTCTTTTTGCCGAGTGTGTGGAGTCACGTGCGCCATTTAGACAGCCTCCCGTGGCTGCGAAGAATGACATTTGAGCGAATTACTCTTCAAACTCGCCACACACACATACACATGGAGATAGAGAAAAGTGTTCTCTGTTTTTATCGATAAATTCGCGGGTTGTTTCCAGCTGTAAAGCGGTATTGATTTACAGTTCATATCTTTATTTCGCCATTCTTTCCAATGTTATTCCGCGATGGACGCATCGTCTGTAAAGTTCTCTAAAGCCGAAGTTCACGAGTGGACGGCCGTGTGGCTTGACGCACGCTCGGCCCTGAGAGGGACTTTTGGGGAGCCTGCGATGTCGTTCACGAGTGTCGGCAGTTGTGCCCCACAATCTTTGCCATGAGCTGAAACCTCGCTGCGATCGTTCATTCCAAGCGCATTACAGCTGTCTCAGCAGGTAGGGCCTGTGCAGGGCACAGACATAGATTTAAATTCACAAAACAAACTCGGGAGAGAAGCGTCTGCCCTCAACGAGGTGCATGCAGCAGAGGGAAGCAACTGACAGGAACGTGTAGATGTGATCAGGAGGAGGAGGGAGCGTGTAATGGGTTGGACACTGGTCCAGGATGGAGGAAGATTGGCTAAGCAACTTGGAGTTTGGGAACAGGAGGAGGGTGTGATGGGTGGGACATATGTGTCAGGGTGAAGGATGACGAGGGCAGGTGACCGAGACGGGCAGTGGAGAGGCACCCAGAGGTCGGCATCTATGGGGAAGACCCGAAGTCAGACGGTGGGATACCGTGAGAGCCGACGTTGAATATTGACTCTGTATCAATCGTGGCATCTGGCAGAGGGGTGGGAAGCAAGTGATGGCGACCTGTAGTATTGTCTGTGCTGTTCGCCCTGACGGCCTCTTGATGTTTACTTTTGTCACCACAGGCTGGCAACGTTTACCGTCGTCATCGTAAGCGGCGCTGCGTTGTCGCGAAGCAGCAGCAGACAGTGCAACACAACAGTCGCTGCTCAACTGATTCATTCAGAGCACAGAGAGACAGTCGTCAGCTGGCGATTCCACGCCACTGGCCAACTCGCTGCCCTGCCAGTTAATTGTCGCCGCAATGAAGTCTACGTAAGAATAAAAATAATAATATAGAGGTGGTTACATGATACTGTATTTGACAGTAATGATATTAGTTGCCAATGATAATGAATTAAATAGTGCCCTTTTATATATCCAGGAAAGTATCCCAGAATTTTAAGATTTATTTTGAGGATTTTCCTGCATTGGGATGTTGCCCAATTCTCATGAGTGTGTTTCATTTGTATGTTTGGTGTCTTCCAGACACTCCATTCCTCCCACGTGCAAATTCTAATTCAGAATTTCTTGAAAGATTGCGCAGAAAATCCAGAAAGAATCCGGCGATGCTTTCCTCTCTGGATTTAGAAATTACCGCGTCATTAATTTTAACTGGGAACCAAACGCCTCCTCTTGAGAACGGTGTCACAGGCTCCCTAACGTCCACTTCACGGCATGCAGCTCACGATGGGAATAACAATGCCCCCCTGCAGAAACATTTCGGACGGCTGCTACTGGAACGAAACCTTCGGCTAGCTCACCCCAAACGGCAGGGATAGCCACGGCCAAAACTCGTGCTCGATCTGCGCCGGTGATGGGTGCAGAAACGGCAAGCGGGGGGAAGGGGGGGGAGAGGAGAGTGGGGGGGGGGATGGGGAGCAGGGCGAGAGACAAAAAACGAGCGCAGCTAAGCGCCACAGCCGACTCACCGTTGGGAACCGCCTGGAAATGCGGAGGTTCAAAATGTCACCCCCCTGCCAAAACATTAGTGCCGTGTCGCCTTTCTGTTAAGAATTGCCAAGGCATTCGGAACTTAAAGAAACCCATCTAGGCATGAATGGCTTAATGAGCTTAATTAGGAGCTGCTGGGCCGCGGTTCTGCTAATTGACTGCTCAATGAATGGTGCAGCGGAGGGGCAGGGAGCGGGGGCGCGGGTGCCCGGTGGGTGGCAGTGGTGGTGTGGTGGGGGGGGGGGGGGGGCGTGATGGGATTTGCAACAGAAAGCTCCTCTGTGTCACCTTCTCGCTTTTAAACCCACCGCCTCTCGCTCGCTCGTGACCGAAAAATTGTGCTGATCTTTCCACTTCCATTATTCCCCTGCTGCGACTCGCACGGGCCGGGGCCGCGCGGGCTCGTCGCTGAGGTCCCCCTTCCCGGCAGATTTCATTGCGGGGCGAGGTGGCCAGCAGATGGCAGTACAGCAAGTTGGTTGCCGGTCTGTCGATGGAGATCTTGAATGTTGTCCCCCTCGAGCGTGTCGTGTTTCTCCGTCCGCTGCCGTTTCCCCCAAAATGCAAAAGAGCTCCTGAGAGTGGAGTTGGCCAAGCGTCCGAAATGAGGGCCCCCTTGACATAAAGTCTTGAGATTTAGTGTGACGTTCCTGGATAAATAAATTAATGTTATTTTATTACACAAATCCTCTCTATGGAAGGTCTATTTGTTTGTGGTGATAAAAAAAAGTAGAGGGAGATTTTAATAATTTATGATTGTTATTAAATTATTCTTGAGTACACAATTATAATCTGGGGAGCAGCAGTGGGGGGGGGGGGGGGGGGGCAGGGGCAATGGTTGGCGTTGCCGTTTTTTGTACGGAGCCACCCGAGTTTGATTTCTGGTTGTGGCTATCTTAAGTGGCGAGCAATATCCGTTCTCTCACGCCTTACCCTCCGCCTACCTTCACTGATCATCCCGGTGAAGTATGGTAAAAAAAAACGTCACGACGGGACACCGTGAATTATACCCATCATCCAGCAGTGGAGTGATAAAGGGTTGTGAAGTGTTATTAATATCATTAATTGTAGTAATATATATGGTATAATAAATAAGGCAGTGCTTGGGATATTTGTCACCGTATTGATTAAACTCTGGGCACAGTTGAAAATTCTTTGTTGTCGTTATTTTACCCATGGGGAATCTGTTATCTTGATGTCCTCTTTTGCAAGTGGGTTTGACTGCCTTGTCAAGGGCAGGATGTCTTGTGGAAAAAAAAATGGTCACGTAATATTGAATATATACAGGAGAAACGTTCAATGATGCAAGTGAATATACGTTAGTTAAACTTATTTAAGCATAATGCTCCTCTGAGCTGGATCTAAATAGCCACACAGGTAAAGTCAATTGTCATTGTCTCTCTGCTCGATTGAGTATTACACGGCACTCATCTCAATTGGCTGGCAGCACTGAGCTTGTGGTGGAAGTACCACATTCCCATGGCAGGGACCAGTCTCTCCCAGGGATGACCACAAATCCAAGAGAGAGTCACCAGAGCCACCAGAACCACCGGAGCGTTTGACCCACTTTCTCTTCATCGGTCAACGACTCGTGACTTGGCACGAAGCACAACCCAAAAAACACGTGGGAGAGGCGACACGGCACCACCGCGGACGCCACGCGGCCTCTGGATGTCCCCGTGTGACAGGGGCGGGCGGGGGGGGGTGGGCGGTGGGGAGTCGGGTGGGAGTGAGGTCTGGCGGTCGGGATGTCGCGTTCCCCGGGGCGTGTGTCTGACCCGTGCGCCCGTGTTTGTGTTTTGCAGGAATGCCCCGACACCTGGAGGCAGTTCCACCTGACGGTGAGTTCCCTTCTCACGGGGGGGCGGCCACGGAGTCGCGGAGGCTGGCAGCGCTGCACACACATGCGCGCACACACACGCACACACACACAAACACACAAACACACGCACACACTATGTGCACATACGCGCACACGCGCGGGCTCCTGTTCGCACGTGCCCCCGCACACACGCACTTACGCATTTGCAGTCGCACACGCGAAAACATACACATACACACGTAATCACTTAAATAAATATATACACATGCATAAAGACAAAGATCCCCTGTAAAGCCTCAACAGACTTTAGGCACAAGTGCTGTTAGCTTGTACCTTAAAAGGCAGGCATGGCGCACGAGAGGGTGGGTGGCTAGCACCGCGCCCGGTCGCCTTTGTATCCCTAGTGGCAATGTTTACACACTGCACCGGGTACTAATTTGAGGCTGAGTCGACTTAGGGGAAGCCCAGGATCCATTCAGATAACCGTCATCTGTGTTGGCCGTGAGCAGCAATCAACTTCGAGTCACCGGGTTCGTACCACGAACCCACTGCACTACCGCTCCCCACACACATGCAAACACTTACACCCACAGTTGCACACACACACACACACTGTGCACTCTCACACGTTGACCCCCCTAACCACGCGGAGCACCGCTCCATGTCTGTCGCCAGTCGTTGGTTTGTTGTTGATACTGGAGTGAAATTAAGGTGTCTAGATGTTGTGGCGCTGAGCTGCGTTGGAAATTCCACATTCCCGGTTGCGCGTCAAAAATCCACATTCGGACTCACGGACGAACCTAACGAGGCACCGGCTTTGCTGGCAGTCATTTGTGGTCATCCCTTGGAGAGATTGGGCACTGCCACGGGAATGTGGAATTTACACCGCAAGGCTCAGTCAGGGTCACCAGAGGAGATGAGTGCCACCCAAAGCCTTCGTTGGAGCAGGTAGGCACGTAGCCTGAAGTCTGTGATTGCTGCCCTGTGTTCTCTGGTGTCAAAATATAACGGGCAGCAGCGTATAGCATAGTGTCGTGTTCTGATCCACCGGCCTGTGGACCCTTCTGAACCAATCATCCGAGCAGCATTTATTAAACGAGGCAAACTGCAGACGAGATTCTTGCTTGCTGAGTCGCATGAGCACAGCGTGGGGTTGCCTGATGTTTTAGATAAAAGTGCCCATTCATCGCAGAACGTCAAAGTTCAAAGTAGTTGTTTTTGTTTAAGTGGTTTTATTGATTAATTAGATTTTTCCCTAAACCTTTTCCTTTCGGCACCGCCGCCCCGGGGCGGGTCGCACGCAAAGCCGCGCCGGTGCTGCGGTTGCGCTGAATAATTAATGTGTGTTTAGGAAGCCATTACAGAGCGTTATGACATTAAGCCGCTGTGTTAGCTGTCACGCGGGCCGACCGTCCGTGCTGCGCTCCCTTCCCCGTGTCCTCACAAGCGCGCGATTTCTGTTCGGATTTCCGCCGCTACTGCCGCCCCTCTCTAACCGTCTCCCCTAAATCCTCTAAACAAATCATTCAGCACCCCCCCCCTCCCCCGCGTACCTCCCGTCCCCCGCCAGTATCTCTCCACGTCGGTGTTTTATCCCTTGCCGGGTTTGAGAGTGAATCCCCTGATGGGCCACGTTGGGCCACCGCTCCGCCGCCAGCCCCTCCCCACGGTCCCCCCCAGTACGCCCCCCTCCTGCTTTGTATTACTGTTTAATTTGTATTTAAATGAAGTTGTAATTAACAGGGCCCAGCTCACCTGTGCTAGGTGTCAGCGCGAGTGATGGATGATCGCTCCCTTCCTCTCTTATTCCTGTCTTCGCCCCTTCTTTCTTACCTCCGGCGCCCGAGCGAGCTTGCTTTTTTTTTCGTCCTTTCTTCTCGTGTTCAGTAAGAGCGGTGGGGGTTGCGGGGGGAGGAGAGGCGAGGAGGAGAGGGAAAGCAGAGAATCGCAGAGAGGGGCGATTGAGAGAGGTTCGAGAGGGAGTGAGAGAAGTTGCTGAGATGCGAATGTTGAGAGAAGGTTGAAGTGAGAGAGAAGATGGGGGGGAGGGTTTGGGGACGTGGAGAGCGCAGGAGAGTTTCGTGACGAGAGGGGGGCACGTTTATCAAACGTTGGTGAGAGAGAATAGAAGGTGGGAAATGGAGCGTTTAAGGCATGTGGAGAGACAGGTGCATTGGAATAGAGAGATGTTGGGGACGAGGGTTGAGATCTGTAGATGACGGGATGAAGAGATGGTAATGGAGTTGCAAAGAGTGAGAGAGCTGTCTAGCGATGACGAGGGAGTGCTACAACTCCATGTGCAGCGACAAGAACCGTGCAAGGGGTAGAAACTCATGACCACAAAGGTGCAAAAGAGTCAACGTGGCTTTTACTGCTGCGGTGAGCATGGTGCTCGAGCCAGCACCTTCTGCAGCCCGCCTGAGCCAGTGGTGGAAACTCCACGTTACTATGGTGCGGTGCGTCTGTCCATAATACAATTGCTGTTGAATATGCATCGGGGGGGAGGGGGGGGGGGACGCGTATCGAGGGGAAAATAAAAGAGAACAACAACAAACACAAAGCTGAACAAAACCAACAAACACTGGGGGAGCGGGCGGGGAGATGCTGGGAAGAGATGGAGAGAGAGAGGGGCACATCTGCAGGTGTTGCTTGAGGCCACGGATTTCGTGGAGTCTGGGCTGGCAGGATTCTTGCTGGTGCAGCGTGAATGGGACGAGCGGGTGACGAGAGACGCCCCCCCTCCCCGCTCCTCGTCCAGTAGGAGCTGCTTAAAGCGGAGCGGAATGAGGGTGGTGCGGCGTGCGGTCGGCACACGGGCATCCTGCAGCCACCGGCTCAATCCCACAGTCGCTCGCGCCGAGCTGTGCGCATGCCTGCGAGCGTGCGTGTGTGCACGTGTGGTGCATCGGCCGGTCATCTCAGTCAGTCAATCCATGGCACCTGGGTCTGTCCCGTGACCTCCTGCCAGCGGGCGTTCGACACTTCACGTGGCCTTGAAGTGCACACAGCCTGGCACAAGCGCCGTGGTGACGTCACTGCGGTTGTTGTTGTTGTTTCACGTGTGTTGGTGTCGTGGGGAGCGGTTGGGCAGTGGTCGGCGCACTGTGCAGCCAACCTGGCTACCTGAGTTAAACTTCTCAAATTTTCGGACCCTCCCCTAGGTCTACTCAACCTTTAATGAGTACCTGGTAAGGTGTGGAAACATCAATATTGGAGATACAAAAGTCGGCCATGCGTGGTGCTGACCACCCACCCACTTTGTGTGCTGTGCGGGCCTTAATAGGTGCTCGTTTAACAGCACTTGCTCCAACAGACTGTTAAAGGTTACACGGGGGATCTTTGTGTTTGTGAGTAGCGGCGGTGCTGCAGCGCTCAGCGCAGAAACTCAAGTGTCCCTTTGCTGCAATGAGAATTGGGTGGTGCTCATCCTCATTGATGTTTCTGATCCAGTGATTGAATTTCCACATTCCTATGGCAGGTGCAAGTCTCAATGCATAAATGATTGAGCTCCAACCTTGCTGTTAGCAAGATATACATTTCAATATTACACGAATTAAGAACATACAAATATCAAGGTGTACATTGAAAAGATTTGAACGTCATAATTTCGTTTTTTCAGGAGGTTAGGGAATAAAACTAAGCTCTTAAAGCGTTTGAGACCAATAACATTAAGTACCACTCCGTGAGAAGTCAGTAGGTGTCTGGTTCTCTGAAAAGTCTTCCCTTTTTGGGTTGTTTATGTAAACCTGGATTGAATCTATAGTGCTCAGAGACAACCACATGTCGGCATAACTCTCAAATTCCACACGGGGTCAGCCCCCCACTTGCTGTACTGCCTCCATCATCCACTATCTCGTTTACCCACAAATGGGTGTCGCACGCACGCACGTGATAGTGCAATCCGAGGGTGATCCACCAATCCCGCTTCTCGCTGGCTGTCGCCACACGTGGCTGTAAGCGTTGTCGATGTCCGTCTGGGCGCCGAGGAAGCGCCGTGTCGGAGCCCGGTCGGTCCTTCGCCAGTTTCCGTGGAGGTGACGGTTCAACACCCCCCCCCCCACCCACGGCCGGCATCGTGATTGTGCCACCCGCTGCGATGCGATTGGTGATCGAGCCGTCCTTTGTGTGCCGTGTTAGAGCCAAAGTGTTGAAATTTGCAACAGCTGACAGACTAAGCAATTAATTGTTGTTTTTGGTTAATGCAGCTTAGGCCGGGTGTCCACTTTCTCCTGTCTAAAAGCGGTGATGAAATTGCAGTCGATAAAAACAATGTTTATCACACCTCACCGGGCTCTGTGGTGGCTAAGTAAAAAGGCATTGTTATTGATTGTATTGTAATAACCATTACATTCGACATAGCCGTTAGAACATTAGTATGTGCTCGAGTGTGCGTAGGTGGCTTATGTATTTGCATAATGTAATTAAAGTACGGAAATAAATATTTGAAACTGTAATAGAACTTTCGGAACACTACCCGCAACACTAAATTGCATTGCGTTGTCAATTTTCAAATCACACAGTGATACGTAAAGTAATCAAACAGCAGCGGTGGCATTAATGAAAGCAACAGTAATATTTGCCAGCGGATTGCATGCCGTGGAGTTTGGTTATCTAAGTGACCGTTCACACAAGCCCTATTTGTGTTTTTTTTATATGCACGCTCTCTCGTCGCGAGCTAATTATTCCGTATTTTGCTCTAATGAATTGTGCTGTCGCAGTCATTCCGCTGCTGGCCTCAAGTCAGCCAAACGCGCTGATTATTCACACGGGAGCCGGGAACCGCACGTTTCCTGCCGAGAAGGCAAAAAATATATCGTAATTTTTTTGCGTGTGTGTGTCGGTCGTGGGGGGGGCGGTGAAAAAAGTGGGGGAGCAAAGCTGGCACGGCACGTACAGACAGACGGACGGACCGACGGACGAACCGACGGACGATAAAAAAAAAAATGGGAGCCCGCTCGCACGTTCCTGCGCGCGCTAGCGTGCGCGTGCCCGGACGGCAAGCGCGCGGGCAGCACAGCA